CATTTTGCTTGTAACGCTTTTTTTATATGTGAAGAAAATCTTCTATATAACAGAGTTGTTAGCAAGTATAAAATGAATTTGTATCGTACAATATCACAAAAAATTACGGATCCGTCTACTTAGCGTTGACGGATCCCTCAGAATTATGTGTCACTTGTCGATATGGGAAGTTTTGAAATATTACTAGATAATCAGCTGTTATTTTACCGTAATGAATACTAATGAAAAATACCGCAGTTTATTGTTTGAAATCAAATAACAATATAATATAGTATGTGAAAAAAGAAAATTACGACATATATTTTGGTATTCTTCAATCGTTGTAAGTATAGTGTGGATGTTTGTGCACTGACTGAATAACGGAAAATATTCAACTTTTTTTTTTATATCGAAACAGCCGCGCAGGCAGAAGCCTAAATGCCGGAACACCGCGGCTGCTATGATGATCCCAAAGAAATTTTGTTAATACGATTTTTGAACTGCCTAAGGTTAGTAGAACTGGGAAAAGCTTCCTCCCGTAGATTGTTCCACAATCTAGACACCATCGGGACAAAGAGGAGCGGTCGTATCAGCCAGTTCTGGAGGTACGAAGTTTGACACGGTTAGGATGGGACGCCGAAGTCAGGCGGGTCTGTCTGGCAGGCACATCGCGCGACTTTATGGGTGCATGAATAACAAAAGTCCTAAACGGTCTTATTCGAATATCAACTCAGGGTGCCATAATGGTACTGATGAACGGCAAGTAAATGTAAATGAATGAATGCTTGGAAACAAGCAAGTGGCGTCTAATGCATTAAGTCTAATATCGAGTTATTTGAGTGGCCTGAAGTAATGTGTAAGAATTGATAATGTAATAAGTGATTATCAAAATATCAGCGCTGCGATATCCCTCAGGGAACTGTTTTAGGCCCCATTCTATTCAACATCTACGTAAACGATTTATTTTCAATAGATTCGAGGATGCTAGAATTCTCAGACGATACTGTTATCATTTATGAAGCCTCAAACTGGGATGCACTATAAAACACAATATTGAAAACAACCTTAAAAATGTACCAGCATATTTTGTCAGCAAATCATTAGTAGTCAACGCTGCGAAGACTACCTTTGTACCCTTAGCATCTCATAAGAATCACTTGCCTCCGTACACTGAAACTAACGTCAAAACAGCAAATAGTACTGTAACTATTAAACGTCAAGCCGGCGTTAAATACCTCGAAATTTATATTGATGAAAATCTAAGATGTACAAATTGAGTATGTACCCAAGAAAATAAGATGCTTTATGCCAAAGTTCAAGTACCCTACAAACGTGCTTAGCTTTGATTGTATGAGAGTCTTATACTACGCACTCAATATTTGCTACGGAGTAATTGGTTGGTGAGGAGCGGCATCTCTCATATGTATTTAAGAAACTTAGAAACTGCTCAAAAATAGCTATATACTAAAGATTATTTTTAGCAAAAACAAAACTCATCCGTCTGACGAAACATATCATGAGATAAGAATGATGGACATAAAACAGATTTTTATTATAATTCCATGGTGTATTACTTTAAAAATAAAACATATCATGAAAAAATTATCCATGAATATGACACTCGCCCGAAAGCAACTCTGCACCAAATAGTACCCAGGCCAGAAAAAAAACAATATTACAACGCTCTTGGGTTTATCTATGCCCCAAGCTGTACAATGAAATCCCTGTCGCTTACAGAACTATACAAAATACTGGTATATTTGAAAAAAAAATATTGTGGATACACACCTTCCTAGAAAAAAAATCCATAAGTATATAAATGGCAAATCGTTGTACGTGCCTCTATTTAAAGGCCAGATGTAGTCACCAGCTTGTATGAATGTGTTGATTATCGTATATTTGTAGTGCTTTAATATTAATTTGTTTTTACTATATTTTGTTATATTCATTATATACATAACTTTATTATAAGTTTTAATACTTTTTTAATGTGTGCATCTCAATGATTTGTGAATGTACTATACTAAGTGACATATAAATCCGAACACCCAGTTTAAGTGGTTTTATTTTAATAAAAGTTGGTGAATGTATTTATCTTACTGTAAATAACAAGTTGAAAAAATTTTCAGCCTTATCAGTTGGACATTCCGGTTTTTATACTGTTTTTTTTTTAATTCACTAACGCTCTAAAAATGAATATTTCAGCCGCAGTAAAGAATCAACGTTGTCGGATTTTGGTCTTGACATCCTTTATGATCGGTTACGATGCCTAGAGTATGGAGACACCGTGGTTAGGTGTGTTTCAGGCATGGCTTCGGGAAGGCCGTACGCAAAGAGCAAGGGGCACTGGACGCCGCCGTAGAACAACAGACCGTGAAGATCGCCGCCTAAGATTATTGGCCTTAAGGGACCGTTTCTCCACTACCAGGTCCATTGCAAATGAATGGTTTGCAGAACACGGAAGACCTATTGGCATGCGAAGTGTGTTTACTGACGAATGAGAAGTTTTGGCTTGTTTTCACACCGGCCACACTGGGTCCTCCCTTTAACTCGAGAACACCGACGTAATCGCCTTGAGTGGTGCAGACAACGGTCACTCTGGGATCAGGAATGGAACAGTTTTTTGTTGAAAGACATGTTCATCACACTGTTGGAGTTATGGTTGGGGGTGCTATAGCTTATGGTTCCAGGTCACCTTTAATCTTCATCAGATGGTAACATGAACGCGCAGCGTTATATCCACGAAGTTCTAGAACCCCATTTTTACCCTATCTTGACACCCTGGCCGATCCAACTTCCAACAAGATAATGCCCCGACCACATGTTGCAAGAGTCAAATAGATTCTTTAACATCATGTGTCACATTGTTACCATGGCACCAAGATCTCCGACTTATCCCCAATTGAGCAGGTGTGGGTTATGATGGGTAGGAGATTGCTCAATTTGCAACGTCCTCCTCCAACTCTAGAAGCACTTCGAGAGGAGTTGGTGGTTGCCTGGAATGAGATACCACAGGAGGACATTGACCACTGATCAAAGCATGCCTAGGCGCGGTGGAGAATGCGTAGCACATCAGGGTGCATCCACACATTATTAAAGGTTCAAAGGGCTTTAAAGCAGTGCAATCATTTTGAAATGTTTACCATTTACTTATTATGCTGCATTAAGTACTTATACAAAATT